TTATTGTTCTTTTAGAAAGTTGCAAAGGATTTTCCCTTGCAGAGGGTATATCGAAAACAATCTTCTACCTTATAGAGATAAGATAAAATATGCGTGTATTCTATCCTCCTCGAACTCCACTTATGAGATTACAAGATGTTTTTATTATTCTTATTCACTAGGGAGATAAGTTTGTATTCTAATATTGAGTTGTCAACTTTACTTATGCTTGTCTAGTTTCTTTTTCATCTCTTTTCATGTCAAAGATAAGAAATGAAGTGTTGAAGAAACACAATTATGAATTTATATTCGAATCAGACAATAGTAAATTTCAAGGTGAATAGTACAACTTTATTTGATGAGGGCAAATATATTCAATACATCATCACTTCTTATTAATTAAAATTAAAAATTAATAAATTGAAATATTCCATTGTGTGCCCAAATATTATATTCTACATTTGTAGCCTCAAGCAATTTGAGGAAACCCTTTTGTTTTAATTTTTGGTTCATATTTTCTTATGGAGAGGTAGGTCCAGTCCAAGCTTGTGCGGTAATATAAAAAAACGATGTTTTCAATGCTTTTGACATTAAAAAATACGTAATAACAAAAAAAAGAAAAATTAAATTTTTTTTCTAGCCAATGATAGGTTTCCTCGTCTAAATGAAATATCTTAATCACAATAGGATTTTAGTGTGGATATATAGATCGATGATGGACTCTCTCTACTTTTAATCAGATATCTAGAGTTCAAACTTCGAACATTTCCCACTTAAATAAGTCGTATTCGATGTAAATTTGAATTAGTCGAGTCAATGTATTACATATACTACCAAAAAATTCCTTTAAAAATCTACTTTTTAAAATATTATTCTTTTAAAAAACCTTGTCTTAAAACTCGATCATATGATATTCCATTGCTACTTACCTAATTTGGAAGATGCATATATAGCCGAATGGATGTGATGGGAATGGAGTACCTCTACTTTTATTATAAGTCTCGAGTTCAAATCGTACCTCGAATATTTTCAACTTAAATAGTCTTATATGATGTGAATTTGCATTAGCCACGTCAGTGCGTTACAAATCCTAATTTTTTTAAAAAAAAAATCCTTAAAAACCCATCTTTTTTTAATTTTAAAAAAACTTGTCTTATACTCTATAATAAGAAATATTATGGGACGGATCCCTCCATTATCAAATTCAAATTGCGAGCATTTTCAATTTAAATGAGTTTTATACAACGTTAATGTTTATTAATCGGGTGCATTAATTATACTAAAAAAATCCTTTAAAAATATGTATACCTTTTTTAATTTATAGACTATGCAAACAACCTTAACTAGGTTTAGAGGAATAAACCTCATCATAATTATTCCATGAATTAGTCAATTTAAAGAAAAAAAACAAATATTAGATGACAATCTCATACGGCAATTGGTTATTTTTTTCTTACAAGAAAGTTCATTCTTGTTTAGTACATTATTATTTAAATTAATAAGCCTTAAAAGCAAACATAATCGTTTTACACTAATTAAGAATTAATTAATGACTTGATGTGATTAATGACTTCTTAAACATATTTTCTCCAAGTAGAATGACATTATGAAGATATATTGGACGAACAATATATTCAGTATAATCATTTGAGAAGAATAACATATTTCATTCCCACCTTATAAACACATAATTTTCTTATGATTTTTTTATTATTATTAATATGAAAATTCTTTAACTAAATTTATCTCCTCTTTAAATGAATAATTAATGAATGCATGTCTTCTTAGAAAAAAATAAATTAAAGTTAACAATTTTTAAAAGTGACATATTTTTGACCAAACAATGATTGTCTATCTTTTGAAACTTTGACGGCAATTTCGAACTTATCTTATTAGTATCCTATAAAGTTATTAATTTGAAGAAAAAGAAAAGATTATCAGATAAATACATATATATGAATTTTTAGAGCCTAATGTAGTTTTAAGTGCTATTTTTAAATTTATCTTTTGATGGCTAATGTAACTTCCTATTGCAATTTTTAGAATTTAATGAGATTTTTCCTAATGTTTTTAGTTTTAAAAAAATTACGATTTCCGTCAATCGAATATTTAGAGTTGTTAAATATTTGATTGAGACCAAAATTACTCACTTTTAATAAATTTAAAGGATAATAATAATTAAAATCATACTTTATGAATTATTTGTATGCTCCCAAACATAATGGACCATTTTTTTCTAACATTAATGTAAGATGATTACATCATTATATTGTTCACACTAATTACAACAATAATGTTATATTCACGTAATCTCATAAATAAGATTCAGATAGAATATAATATATGCAAATTCTTCGTACATTAAACTTTTTATATTCTTAGTTCCTTAGTGAAATTTCGATTTTCACCAATGCCTCCATAGCCTCCTCCTTCACCATACCTACACTCCAACATCATTTCCTCACTTTCATAATGCTTATCTAGATTTTACATAAATATTTTATTTTAATGTTGAACATGATTGATTTTCTTTGTGTGTTAACCCTATATGTTCTGAAATTCTTAGTGAAAATTTTGAACCGCCACTATCTCCAATCTCCATAACCTCCACCTCCACCACCCATACACTCTATAAAGCTTGTCTAGATTTTACATAAATATTTTCCGTACATGTTGAACCCGATTGATTTTCTTTGTGTTTTAACTCTTTACATTCTAAATCCTTTATTGAAAATTCTGATTCCGATCCACCACCATCTCTATAGCCACCAGTCACCACCTCCACCGGTCCATACACTCCGACATCCTATCCTCACCTTCGTAACGCTTATCTAGATTTTACATAAATATTTTTTGATATATTATTTTATTTATTTATTATCTCTAAACATGAATTTTTTTAAAAATTTAAATATTTATAAAGGAAAAAAGAATTGGTAACAAGAAAATGACCACCGGTTTACACAAGGCATTACAAACATGTGAACCTCTCAGTAAATCGTTGGTCAATATGTGGTCACTAACGCGCCACAAATAGGCGCGTGTGCACTCTCTTTAATTAAGCAATTAAATGATTAATTAATTAATTAATCCCTTTATGTTCAAAGGGTATAATAGTATTTTCCTCTTTTTTTTCTTTTTCTGTTGTCTGGTCATTTATTTCCTTTTTTCTATCATTTCCCATTTCAGTATAAAATCATTATTGTCTTGTCACTTCACCTATGTTGTACAGCCCTATCATCCACAAAACAATTATTAATTATTATTTTTTGACTTTAGGATAACACGTAATCTCTATAATTTTTGTCATAGTATTTGAATTTTGGGTAAACATTTTATGTGCATTGGGTGAATCTCCCATTGTGTAATAGTCAGTAAATTATATAGAGTATGCAAACCGCATTAGAAAAGTCTTTTGCGACAGACTTGACTCAAAAGGGATTGAAGAGGGAGCGATCTCAGGTCATATGTCTAGATGACTACCCTACAAACCAATTGAGTCATCCTGAAAGACAATTATTATAGATAATTAATAAATAAATACTTGTATTGCTTTTTCATTTAAACTAGTTTGACTTGACACAATATTTTCAAAAAAAAAAAAAGACTTTAAAATTTATGGTATAAAATATGTTATAGATATGTGTGTGTTGCGTGTGACATTTGTTTTTATTTGAATAAATTATGGTATAATAAAATCACAATTATTACTAAGTAGGGGCGGACTCAATGTCCTATGTCACATTCATCTAACCTCAATATTTTCAACTCCAAACTTACTTTTATATGTAAAAATTTAGTAATATTGTAATAATTAATAGATATGAACTCATAACTTTAAAAATATATGACTTGAATACTAAAATCCATAATATAAAGCATATGATTTAAATATAAGTACACTACAAATTTGTTTGTTTAAATGGTTGACATTTTCACCATCGATCGGTAGATTGAGAGTTCAAGTCTGTTGAAAGGTAAATAGAAACACTATTGATCCTCCTAGGGTGTACTCAGCTAAATTAAATAAGCAAGAAAGGACCACTAAAGAATGTGATGCAGCGGTTGAAATTGCTCATTTCTTAATCAGAAATCTCAATTTTAAGTCCTGAATATAGAAATATTATTGATAGGGAGCACTACCTCCGAATAATCCCTACATTGCACAATACTAAATTAATCAAACTCATATATCCAACACCGAATAAAAAACTTTTTAAAGCATAAGTGACTATATAGCACGCGCCATTATACAGCAGCAAAACAAATTGCAAAAGAGAATCAAGAAACAGAAAAGAGAAAAGTCTATTGTTGTTTTTTCTGCCAGCAGTAATATTATTTTTATTAGAATTGAAAAGTAATTCAAATACTTCAATTTTTTAACTTACATATTTGTGACATGATATATATTTTGAAAAATGTTATCAACTATATAAAAAAAAACTTGAATTTGTAAAATCTTACGTCTAGATCTACACTAAAAATTACAACCTAATAATGTTGATTCTACTCCTCTAAAGTAACTACTTATTTTTTAACAGTAGAGTTCAGATTAATTTACGAGATATTCTTCTGGAAAAAAATATTCTTATATATGGTAAAGTCCAAACTCTTTATATTCATGTCGAGGGCCTTTCATTCATTAAATCCTAGCGAATAATGAAGTGATTGAAAATCACGAGGTCGTTGGTGATGATGGGAGGTGATAGATATTTCGTGAAATTATTCGAGATGCGTGAAAACGGATACAAACACACTAGGATCGTTAAAGAAAAGTTAATGTACGAGGTCATTGATGGTGATAGGAGGTGATGGATATTTCGTGAAAAATAATTGAGATGCGTGAAAACTGATACGAATAGTAGAATAAAAAGTTAATGTGAATACTTAATTCACCTAGTATTTCCTTTAATATAAATTTTGGACACCTCCACGCACAAAACGTTTCTCCATTGTCACTCTCTGCTCAAACTTCTTCTTCTTCTCTCTCTATAAATCCATGGCCGGCCAAAGCTCCATTTGATTCCATTTTCCCATTTGTTCTTCTACTTCGCCTCTCCCCCCCCCCCCCTCGAACCCATATCGTCATTTTCAGCTCCTATAAATGCCGATGTCTGCAGCGACCCCTTAATGTGAAACCCCCTTTTTCTTGATTCTTCTTTGTATTTGAGCTGATTGTTGTTGTTTTCTGCTTTTTTGCTGAAATTGAAACGAGGGTATACGGTAATTTCGAGATGTTTGACCTTAATCTTTGTTTCGAGGAAGATGCTATGGAAACTGTTGCGACGTCGGGGAAGCTGAAGGAACTGTCATTTGGGCAAATTGAGAATTCCGGTACATCGAATTCATCTATTGTGAACGTGGAAACATCCAGTACTGCCGGCGATGATGAGCTCATTTCGTGTTCCGATCAGCGCACTGATGGGTACGCATTTGAGATTCTCAGAGCTGACTATGAAGGGAATGGGTTTGTGACTAAGGAGTTGTTTCCGTTAACCGGTGGAGAATCGGCAGCGCCGCTGTCGCAGCAGCAGCAGTGGTTGGATCTCTCGGGTAATTACAGTGGTGTTCCGATGGAGCAGAGAATCGTTGTTGGTCCACCACAGCTGAGACAACAGGTGAAGAAGAGTCGAAGAGGACCTAGGTCCCGGAGTTCCCAATACCGCGGTGTCACATTCTATCGGAGAACTGGACGATGGGAATCTCACATCTGGTCAGTTTACTTCTTGCAAATTTTTTTCCAGATAACTGTTGTGTTCGGGCTGGGCTAGTTTGCGTTCACCTCGACTAATGAGCAAGAAACTAACTTATTTGTTTGATGTATTATGTCAGGGATTGTGGGAAACAAGTTTATTTAGGTAAGCAAAAATGTGCTTATTATATACTTTGTTCATGAATTGTTTCTAACTGGTAATGCTTAATTTGGACATTTTTCTTATAGGGGGATTTGACACTGCACATGCTGCTGCTAGGTATGACATAGTAGTTTATGTTGCTCGGACTCTTCATAACTGTCGATGGGTGCGTGTCGGATTCTCCAAAAGTGGTGTATTTTTGGAAATTCAACACGGGTGTGACATCGAAAGTGAAGAGTTTGTGCAACTTAGATAATAGTAAGAATGCGTTTTATTGTTCATCGAAAGTGAAGAGTCCACATAATTGTTAAATTTTCCTATTAATTTCAGGGCATATGATCGTGCTGCGATTAAATTTAGAGGACTTGATGCAGATATCAATTTCAATGTCAGTGATTATCATGATGATTTAAAGCAGGTATGTGGGATAGCTAGCTAATGAATGAACCACCCCTAGTCTGAAATTCTCAGTTAGGAAACTGATTTTGGTTGACTGTTTATGTTTTGTGAATGGTGTATAGATGGGGAACTTTTCTAAGGAAGAGTTTGTGCACATACTTCGACGACAGAGCACTGGTTTCTCTAGAGGAAGTTCAAAATACAGGGGAGTTACGTTGCACAAATGTGGACGATGGGAAGCTCGGATGGGGCAGTTTCTTGGAAAGAAGTGAGTAACCACTTATCTGTATTATCGGTGATATAGCTGTTTAAACGCTTTCTATGTCATTGCACTGATTGTATGAAGTAGAGGGAATATTGTCTCATTGGATGTATGCCTGCAGGTATATCTATCTTGGACTGTTTGACAGCGAGATAGAAGCTGCAAGGTCCAATGATCAAAACTTGACTCACCTCTCCCTTTTATGTTATAACGTTTACACTTTCAACATTGACTGGACTTGGTCTTTTGCTGTTGTTCAGGGCGTACGATAAGGCTGCTATAAAATGCAATGGAAGGGAGGCAGTCACCAATTTTGAGCTAAGCACATATGAAGGTGAATTAAGTACTGAGGCTGATAATGGAGGTAGTATGTTTAGGCTTTCCCACATATTTGGACTCCGTTGTGATTGTTGCCTCTTTTTAGTCTCGTATTTATCATGTTGAACGACATATTTTTCCATCCGTATGCAGGTGCAGACCATAATCTTGATCTAAACTTGGGAATAGCCCCCTCTGTATCCGCTGATGACCAGGGTGGCAACACCTGCCAAACGGGAAACTATGTAGTCCAGTGTGCCTCAAATGGTTTGCCTGGATATAGAGGAGCCATGGTAATTTCGAGTCGATGATTTTCATTCAGATTCTTTCGAGTCATTTACTTATGAGATGTCTGACAAAGGAAGATTGGTTATTTACTTAGTTATACATCTTTTTGCAGAACATTCCTACTACCACAATGGGAGGTAAACTGCTTCACGGCCATCAACTGCTAACTGATCGCCCTCTGCTCTGGAACGGAGTGAACACCGGTATCTTTCCCACATTGAAGGTATATTCTTTGTCAAACTTAGTTGATTATCGTAATTGTAGCATCCATTGTCGAGTAGAAGTCCTAGTTACATGGTGCTTATTTTGGTTTGATACGAAACCAGAAATATACTGTTCCTTAGCTAACTAAATAGGAAGCTAGTTGTTTCTCTGTCTCACCTTGTTTCTATATTGACGTGAACCACATCATCTTCAGTTATCATTCATAACTTCGTTAGGACTTTCTCCAGCATATATGCATGCATATTCAGTTTTCTTATCCAATAGCTTTAAGAAGACAAATGTGTTGCTGTCGTTTGTAACTACTGTTTCTTACTAGCTGAAAATGTAAGAAGTGTGAAAATTTGATCTTGAGACGATGAATGCTCGTGCAGGGAACAGCATTAGGGAAGGGTATAGAAGTTGATTCTTCACCAAATTGGACGCGGCAAGACCAACATCCTTATTGCGGGAGTCCTTCAGTGCCACTCTTCTCTACTGCAGCATCATCAGGATTCGCTAATACAACTACAGCTGCTGCTCAGCTACCCTGCTTTTCCAATGGAAAATTACCTTACCAGCATTCACCATCACTTGCCAATATGAACTTTGCGCATTATTACTGCAGGAGCTGAAGCGTAGTTAGCTATTAGATCAAAAGTACCTAGGCGATATCTTTTCTGGATATTGAATTCTAGTTTCCTTCCTTAGGAATGAGCCAGTATGAAACTTGATAAATTTGCTGTACAAAAAGTTTCAGAACAGCATTTTTTACATTGCTTCGACAACTCTGACTATTATTGAGAATATTCATTTGGAGCTTCTTGCTCAATCATGTTCTTTCATATTCTGCTAGTAAATCTTTTAATGAAGGTATTGATTCTGTTAATGGCATTTGCAAAGATTGAGTACATTGAGGAATTTGAATCTCCCTTATTTTGCTCAAGCATATATATGAGTCTACCACCTCTGAGGAAGGAGTAGGGTCAGAGTACACTCTACGCTTCCAGACCCCACTTTGTGGGAATATATTGAGTATGTTGTTGATGTACATTTGACACAAGTTCTCGACATAATCAAGGAACCTTTTGCTCATATAACTATTTGTACTAGATAATGCATTAAGATGCATCTTAGGATAACATGACCTAAGTGAAATTAAGGAGTGAGCAAAATACCACTACATGAGCAAGAAGTTCACACCATACGAAATCCGCTACTCCTTGCACATGTTGTGCCTTGGCTTGGGTAGCATAGAAGTTTAAGATACCTACCTCTCAACATGCACCATTTACCTTATCTCAAGAATGGATCCTTTGAAGTACATCTTTCAGAAATCTATGTCTACAAAAAAAAAAGGAAGCTTAGATATTTTTTTGTGTGTCTGGACGTACATGGCTAAATAAATGAGTGGGCATCAATATTATTGCATATAATACAACATGGAATAGTGAAAATTTTGTCTTGTTGCTTTAGGTTATGATGAACAAGTACTACTCTATCCTAGGCTTTGCTATTAGTAAAAATCAAAGAGTAGTACTAAAACATAGTAATACTAGTAGTGAAAATAAATTTGTCCATATTTGTACAACAATGATACTATATTCAGTATAAATTTACGAGTGAAGTTTGAGGAGGATGATGTGTACGTAACCTTACTCCTAACTTGTGAGTAAAGATAGAGATGTTATTTTCGATAGGTTTTGTCCAAATTTGTATTATGTAAGAAAAAAACTGACAAAAACCTACTCTTTTTGTACTACTTGCCATCTTGCTGGACTAATTATTTGATTTATGGAAAGTGACTCTATGCCAAGATTTGTGTATTGGTAAAGATATTTTAGTATTTTTCTACCTCAAAAAGAACAACATAGAATTTTGAGAATAACCTATTCAAATTTTTTTTATATGAATTAGTTTTTATTTGTAAAATTAAATCTTTTCCTTTTAAAAAAATGAAAAATAAAATATTTCCATCACAAATATAAGTACTCAAACTTATTGTATACAACTCTCATTTATATGGTCCACACTGAAATGTGTAATTTTGTTGTGCTTGAAAAGCATTTGAGAACTACTAGATAGTTCTAGGTGCAACTTGCAAGTGGTCCACTCTCCACCTTTTTACATGCTTTTATATGAGGTATTTTTCCACTTACTAGCATCTCAAAATGCTATTAAGGCTCGATTATATTTAGATTTACATTGGAGATTTTTATAATACATATGCAAAATTTGAACCAAAATTAATAGGTTCGGATTAGTGCACTACATTATTCCCCTCAAATTGGCAATCCTTAATCATTATCACCAATTCACCATGTTCGGGATTTCTCTCTTGTATCCTCTCGCAAAGATGAATTTAAAATTTAAATATTATATAGGATTATGACTAATCATAGTAGAGATTATTTAACATTGAACATTCTATTTTTGAGTTCAAATTTTACATATCAACAACTCATTTGTTGGATTTACGTTTGTACTCTTTTCATAAATATATAAAATTTGAACTAAAATTATTGCGTCGGAATGCACCCATAGGCCATGTGCTAGTCAATTTATGATCAATATTTTCACATGAAGTATATTTGAAGTAAACTCAATAGAATAGTAGGTAGTAGTAAGAAAAAAGTTTCATAGGATTAAAAGTGGAAGTACAAGTAGCATCAACTATCACATCTAATTACTGATCCAAAGCCCAAGGAGAATGCTGTTTGTAAGTTTACTAATACAGTCTCCACTGACTGATATGCAATTTACTCTACTCACTAATCTAATCTAGATATAGAGTCATTTAGCGTGAGATATAAGATATAATAATCTCATACACAAATTGTAAATTTATTTTATTTTGTGTTTGGTTGAAAGTATTTTGGAGTTCTAAAATTATTTATATCTTAGTGATAAGATTAGTTATCTCATATGCAAGGTGAAATAACTTATCTCAGGATAATTTATTTTGAGATAATTAATTTTTGAATAACTTGTTCTCAATCAAACGACCACCATACAATTCAAAATTAGGAATATATATTATTAGATATTTGGTCTCAATTTATATGATATTATCTGACTAATATATAATTATCATTTTTTTTTTATAAATCTAAAATAAATTTTAGAGATTCATTTAACTATAAACTACTCCTTTGTTTACTTTTATTTGTCAACCTTTTAAGAAATAATGAATGAAGTGCATATACAAATAGGAAAACTAAGCAAATGTCTCATAAATACCATTCAAATAATAAAATTTCACCTTAGAAATATTGTTGTGTGAATGAAGTGAAAAAATATGATGTATTTTATTTAAATTGCAATAAAGATAAAATATATTATGTGATTTTTATCTATTTGTTTAATCTTAAACATGTTGGATTTTTATACCTATATTGATAAAAGGTAACTAGTAAAGTATTCTAGATTTGTTCAAATTGATCCGAACATCAATATTATTTAAAATGTTTATAGGAAAAAGTTACGTGGCTTAGCTAATTGTTGAGCACCATAATTATCTTTTATAGTGAAATATTAAGCAAGTTACAATAATTACATAATATAACGATAGTTTGGTGGTTTTATGATAGATAAGTATGGATATATTTACCAACATGGGTTGTAATGCACTGGTGAGAGTATTTCACCCTTAACCAGAGGTCTCAGGTTTGAGTCTTGGGTATGGAGAAAATCCTGTTAGGAGCTTCCCTCCGAATGGGCCCTGCAGAGCGCGATCTGATGGATATATTTATCTACGCATGTATATAATTTTTTCACTATTCATATGCACACACATATAGTGCATTTTTATATATGTATGGATATAATGTATTTCATTAAATCAAAATTGTATAAGCGCGAGTACTAACATATTTCATTATTATTATGACTATCAATACAATGTATTCCGTTGTTTTATGAAACCGAAAGGCAACTACGATTCATAATTAAGTAAAACCTCATTATTCTCACGAAGCTAGACGCAAATAACACTATTTATGGAATTTTCCCAAATTAACAAAAAAAGAAGATAATTTTAGAGTGCTTATTAAGTTTTACACGCATTTCACTGAAATTAAGCGCGTGGGCTAGTAAAGGTTAAAAAGGTAATTTCAAGGGAAGTAAAGTTCTGTTGTAGCCAAAAATGGAAGGCCCATGAATATACATTATACCTTAATGGGCTGGGCCCAAAATAAAACATCAATTTAAGGTCCTGTCACATCACTACTTTTTTTTTTTCTGAAAAAAAATAAGACTTTTTTGTTTTTACATAAATTCTAAACATCAAACATGAGAGGTCTCTTTATTGTTTTCTTTCCCCACACCAACAACCAAGAAAAATTAATTTTTTTGTAATTTTATGAGTGGAGTCTACGGTGGAAAGCGTGTACGTAGGTTTTACCTCTATCTTGAGAATGTAGAGAGGTTATTTTTTATAAACCCTCCATATGACTTAAAATATAACTAGATATCAACAGAAGATGTGGTGCAACGAATGATATTGCTTCTTCCTTCTCAAGTTCGAGCCTTGTATATGAAAAGATCTTTGGTAGGGAGTGTTTCCCCCCGAATGAAGCCTTACATAGTGCTTCAATGTGAATTTCAGACACCGCATGAGAAATCAGATGACCTGTTTTGAACCCCCCCCCCCCCCCACACATTTGATTTATATGCACATTTTTTTGTTGTTGTATATATACCGATTTTGAATATGCGATGTCTGAAGTTAGGTATTAATGAAGTTCATGTATTCCTACCAAAAGTTCAAACAAAAATAGTTGGCCTTGAGTCGTTTCCCTTGAATTTATGTTATATATGACTAAAGTCCAATTATTTTTGTCTAACTTCAATAATTATGTTTGAACGTTAATTATATATCCATGAACTTCGGACAAAAATGACAAAAGGTAGGCAATAAATTCTCAATAGGACATGTAAGAGTTGTGTTTATTATTTTCTTTCCCAACAAACAACAACCATAAGAGATTCATTAAAAATCTGTTAGTTTTTCCTATGTTTGCTATGGTAAATGGGCCTATGAGTTCACTTTGGGCTGACAAGAATCAGAATAGAAATGGTTCATGGGCTTTTCTCTTTTCTCCATTGGTCCAAAAGGGAAATCATTAAAGAAACATTCTCTCAACTTCTTTTTAAGAGATGTTTGTATATTGTATAAAAGAAGTATCTTTTGAAGTGTCATTTCTTGTGTTGTTGTTTTGACTTGATAGTTGTTGTCTTTTGACAACTTTATTGTTTTTATAATATTCTTACATGTATGGGGAATTGATGTCTGAAAAAAGACATATTTCTATGTGTAAGTTATGTTCAATCAAATTATTATGTTAGAATCCATAATTATATCAAAGCGTCATGATTTTAAATTCATAAATTATAAAGAAGAGAATAGTACGGTTATGAATTGTGACATGCAAATTATAACAAACTGATATGAATTCATGTTATGCTTGACCTGATTGTCTTGTTAGATTACTTATAAATCATGTCATGTTATCGTAATCTCAAAGTTACAGACAGAACAAGAGGAGCACATACTTTTGAGAGCGGTGGTTTGCAAGTAATGACAAATCGATATGACTTAATGTTGATTTAACAGAAATGTCTTGAAGAATTTCTCACAAATCATATCAGATTAGTGTGAGTTTACTGGTAATTAGTGACAAAAAGTGTTGAATTAGCTCGATATATTACCAAATTAGCATGTCTTACTTCTGATAAGCTTTTACAACTTGTATTATTTAGTTGCCTTGGTGTGAGTTACTTGTAATCACTAATAAACAATGACACGTATCACTAATGAATTAAACATGATATCCTAGTAAATTGGCGT